GTGCCAACATGAACTTTTTTCGTGCCGGGCGCAGGGCTCTGTCTCTTTTCCCATACAAACTGTGCATCGAGCGGACAACGTCTCAGACATTAAATGCAGCCAGTGACACTCCTTTCGTAGCTTTTTCAAGAATTCATTCAACTGGCTACAAGAAAAGAAAAGATATTCGACTGTGGAAGGGAAGCTTGGAAAACAGCAGTTTAGCTTCTATCTGAATCACTTGAAGGACTCTTATGTTAAGTAAACTGGTCTTAACTGAATTGAACTGAAATGCAAGCTCCCACATCTAAGGGATCTTTCACAGTATTCCCTATTATTGTGATCACTAAAGGGGGATTCAACACTGGACTCAACAGGAGATACATACCTCATGTACACAAAGCTACCAGGAATGGATTTATCATTTAGTCACGAGTGCTTACCTCAAAACAAGATCATAAAGCTGTTGTGGAGGAGTACTGCCATGATCTGCAAAAATTTGCAGCTTAATAACTGCCTTGTAGCACAACAATTGAAGAACATGGTTTTCATTGTCCAAGGCAATTTTGGCTTCATTAGCGCAAAGGCTGCGCATATTTTTAAAGTGAGGAGTTTTCCCAAAAAGGACAACCAGTCGGCAGAAAAGTCCACTTGGAACATATTTAGTTTGAAATGTGAGGTATATCGCTGAAGCGTTATCTGTTTCATTTTTTCCCTCTTCTTTATAATAGGTAGTCAGCATACAAGGGACCAGGATTTGCGATTCTCCTGTTTTAGTTTCTTTTGTTTTTTCTGGCCACTTGCAAATGAGGTTGAACTTATCCATTAAAGATATAAAAGAGTCTTTAATAGGACACACATGTTTTTTCTTGCAGGTATAATTAATCAACCGCTCACGAAGAACTCCTTCTTTTGCTAATTTCTTGCGATCTTGTCTTAAACACAGAGGTTCGTTCTGATCCGGTTCCACTTTGATAATCTCACAGAGTACATTAATTAACCACTGGGGATCTAAGACAATCAGACCAAATTTCTGTTTGTCCTGTTCATGTTCATGGTACACTATTGTTCCACGGCCATGCAAAAAATACACAAGCTCATCAAAGTCGTCTTCACTCTCAAAAGTACAGTGGTGTGAAACAATATCTTTTCGAAAAGATTCCTTTCGGAGGTACTTTTGTTTTTGCCAGACAGGTTGTCTAATTTCTTTCTCGACACGATGCCATTGCAAAGGGATTTCCCTCTTGGTATGAGGCATTTTATCAGCCAACTCCAAGATCTTTTTTCGCAACTCACTGATTTCCTCCTGGTCGGCTGATTTTCCAGATTTTGTGTTATCAATCGGAAGACAATCTGCGATGTGTGGTAAATAAGTGTATTCATCGAACACACTTGAACACTTCTCTTCTACTACAGATTTAATTGCTTGACGTGGATCGTCTACACGGTCAGCATGGGTACCGACAAGTATGACTGGAGGATACGAAAGACCATCGCTCTGAAAATCCGTCTTCAAAGAGTGAATCAAGTCCATCCACCTAAATAAGTGATCCAAATTGGTGTCCTCGCTATCGCGGGCTGTTGCGGTGCGCTCTTTGTGTCCCACATTGACTCGACATTCTGCTTTTTCGCTCAATTTCTTTGTAAGATCAAACACGAGAAGATAAATGTCATATGATGACATAAAGATTGGATGTATAGAACGATAGATGTCCTGTCCAGCAAAATCCCAAATGATGGGCCAAATGTTTTCATCAGCGTCAGCTTCATTTTTCTCGAGGTGTTCTTCTAATATTATGGCAATTTCATCTGGAACGCCAAATGGCTTCTTTTGATTTTCAAGGTCTTGGTCTTCTGAAACAAAAAAGAATAATTTTCAGTGTTATTAGTGAAACTCTTCTGGTATTCACTCTAATGCAAATCCAGCATTTCGATTGTTTGACAGAAAAATGGGACTCCACCAAAAAATACTTGTTGAAATCACTCGTTAGTGCCTCCTATATTTGTGATAAAATAAAGAGGAGCAAAAGTTGACTCTTGTTTTTCTTTCCCGTACCCGCTGAAAAAATCTCGAGTTGACCAACTTTAGGCCTGAAAGATCGGAAGCCGAGTCAGAGGGGTGCATTTCCTTTGCCTGCGTCGCAGACACTCTAAACCTTTTGTATGGGCTATACAAATGGGCAGGCTGCAACCTAGCCTGCGTAGCAAGCGTTTCCAATCGAGTTACTGCGTGAAAGTTAGAGCGGGAAAAACAAACTCGCGCGGAAACGCTTGCTACGCAGGCTAGCTGCAACCCAGGCTAGAATTTCCTCTGCATGATGGCCAATGAATCTATTACCCTGTTCTCTCCACGGTTCCGTCTTATTGCTGCCGGGCATCAGCCGGCAGCAGACCATATTCTTGAGCGATTTAAGATTTTTGGTTCGATGGTTCCATGGTTCGATGGTTCCAAGGTTCAATCAGCAAGTGCTTAGCTGCCGCGCCTGTTTTTCTCTTCAGAGCAACCCGCCATTTTGTTTTGTTCTCATGTGAGTATAAGATCTGTGCAGAAGTTGTAGTACATCGGAGGTTTGCTGTCTCTTTAAACAGTCTAAACGGTAAGAACAGTTCAAGAACTATTGTGCGGGACATTTTTTCGGTTTTTTTTATGCTAGGTTTCAAGATTAGTTACAGCGAGTATTTTTTGTCACACAGATTGTTATCTCGGGAATCAGGATTATAAGTTGTGATCGGCGTGTACTGTACGTCTACCTGACCCGTGAATAAACAAGTTTATTTGTTCGCAACTCTTCTCGTCATGTACACGATGATTGTTCGATGAAGAAACAGTCTATCAGCACTGCTGTTCTTAAAATGAATTACAAAATCATGTTGAAACTTTGGCGAGTCAGTATCTGAATGTAAGCATATTTGTCATTGTGATCGGTTCATTTTTTGTATTTTATTCTGAGTGCATCATAATTCTATGTTATTTACTTTAAGAAAAAAATTCATATGTTCAACTGTTCTACATACTGTCTTTGTTCTATTCGCATCGAAACTCACGGCAGCACTTCCCTTCTCAAGGAGAACTTCTAGTTTTACTTACGATTTTTCTGGGCCTCGTTTTCCTTGACCTCCCTAGAAGCTTCTTCCTGTTGGAGGACTTGAGTTTTTCCTTCATCGGCTTTTTCCTTGACCTCTCTAGAAGCTTCTTCCTGTTGGAGGAGTTCTGTGTGGTTACAGAAAAAAAAAGCGTGCAATGTAAGAAATTGGTGTTGAAATACATAGCCTGTACAACGCTCACAGATTATCCACCTTCAGGCCTTGAAAGATCGGAAGTCAGAGAGACAGATTTCCTCTGATGGCCTATGAGTCTACTACCTTGTTCCCTTTGTACGTTCTGTCTATTTTTGTAGTACCCCGTTGCGGGACTAAATGATACCTTATAAAAAAAATCCATCAACTTAAAAGTCCATCCGTGTTTAATTAGCCTATCCCTGGGGAGGGCAAGGGGAAGGGTTAATGCCACCAACCCAAAGGTTGTTCAGTTTTGATTTTTCAGAACCATTTAATTGCTAGAAAATTTTTCCCTTCAGTAACCATTTATACATTCCTTAGAAAATTGTAAATAACGGCAGGCGCGGATCCGTACCGGTTTCCACCGTTTTACGAAAATAGGTCAGATTTTTCATAATAAACATATTGTTCATAATAATAATAATAATAATAAGAATAAGAAGAATAAGAATAAGAATAAGCTTAAGACAAAGAAGAGGAAGAATGATAATAATAATAATAATAATAATAATAATAATAATAATAATAACAATAATGATAATGATAAATCTTTCCTAGTTGACTGGCTGGAAAATGGTTTGGACAATTTTTTTTTTCAATTTCCGGGCATTAGATACCACCAATGAATCACAAACCCACAAAAGAGAACTTTAGGGAGAAACTCCAAACATTTCCTTGGGGAGTATGTCCCCAGACCCCCTTAAAAGCTTGCGCCCTCCTCTCTCGCTTAGGAAATCGGTTGGTATTTATCCTATATCCGTGCCAGAGCGGCCATGTATTAAGCGGCCACTTTTCTAAGTGCCGATTTTTCGCCCATACAAGCGCTGTATCTGTTTTGATGTTTTGCCCACGATTGCCTTAATTTTGTGTCGTAGAAAAAGTGTGTTTTCTGGATATTTTTACCCCGTTTAAGCAAACTGAAGACATGTTCTTAGTTCTTTTCTTCTTTTCTTCAAAGATGAATCTTTCTCGCAAACTAAAAGCCTCTCGAACTCAAGGATTCGTTTGAAATAATTATCACTGAGAGGAAAAATAAATTAAAAGAAAATGTTTGGCACGCTTACCATCTTGGACAAATAACTGATCTGTTTTGTTAGACGCTTCAATTCTTGGTCTTTTATCTGCTGGCTGCTCCGAATGTTTGCTTAATAAATCCTCAGCAGTCTTCGCAGCAACCTTATGATCAAATACTGTTGTGTGTTCAAGAAAAGATGGATTTTTCCACGCGCCTGTCCCAGCATTTTTGATAGCAGGAATCATTTGTACTCCCTCGGTACTGAGTTCGGCTTCATTAAAAGGTTCACCTCTTAGAGCTCTACCGAGGCTCGTTTTGCCCACACGGTCTTGCCCTACGAGCAAAACCTTGACACGTTTATCATATGTGCTACCACCAGTCTCAATTGCCCTGTGGTAAGCAGCGAGTGCCTTGTCTCCTCTAGCTCGCACAAAGGCTGGAATCAGATCTGAAAGTTAAAAGTAACATAAAGTTAGGCACACATTGTTTTCGAAAATTTCGCGTTAATTTGATGTTTTTAAAAGTAACTTTTGGAAAACTCGCGTTAATTTTGTGTAACGCAAATTTTCTTCGCGTTGTCAACGTGCATCGTTTATTTCCTATAATAAGGTAATCCCACTGAATTATCGATGTTTTCCCCTCAGAATGTGGAATATTACACTAAATATGAATGTAAAGGAAAATCTTTCCCACAAAAAATTAAAATTAACGTTTTTCTGCACAAGATTACAAAAACATCTCAAGATTTATCCAAACGGTCTAGATAGCAGCAACAATATAGATAGCCGATAAACATAACAATTTTCCTTAATTTACCAGACATGTTTCGACGGTTTCACCAACATAACAAGCATTACAATTAGTCTTGCACACGAAAATTTATAAACCACACGTGTACGAAGCCCCTGAACACAGTTTTGCGGGCAGTCAGCGGTAACTCGCGTGACGGCGGTAGGTACGTGGTGTAGGCATCATATAGTGGTTCCCCGTTAGTTAATATAGCTTTAATAGCTTTAATAGCTTTAATAGCTTTAGCTTTAATAATATAGCTTTACATAGCCCTACATAGCCACACACAGCCCGACATAGCCATAAACAGCCATACACAGCCCTACATAGCCATACACAGCCATACACAGCCCTACACAGCCCTACATAGCCCTACATAGCCATTAATGACTTACCAAATTGCTTAGATCATAGTAAAGTAAGGTCATTTGCTGATGATACAAATTTAACGTTCTCTGCCGTGGATTTATCAATCCTTTAGACTGAAATGAGCAACGACCTTAACAGAATTTTTAATTGGATTAGCTCAAATAAACTCACATTGAATATTCTAAAAACAGATTTTATGGTGATAGGTTCTCGGCAGAGAATTGTAACATTAGCTGGAAGTATTTCATTAAGTGTGAATGGTTTAACGTTACAACAGGTCGAAAGTACAAAGTGTCTTGGCCTCACTATCGACCAATTTCTTACTTGGAGAAATCATTTAGAAAGTGTCAGACAAAAGGTGGGCCGTGGCATTAGAATTCTTAAGAGTATTAGGCCTTTTGTTGGTTTGGAGCACCTCATAAACGTATACAGGTCAATAGTTGAGCCTTATTTTACTTATTGTTGTATATATTGTTTGGGATAGTATTGGCGAAACGTTGGTAGACAGTCTTCAAAAGTTGCCAAATAGGGCCGCTCGTGTTATTACAGGTGCTTCATACTCGAAACATTCAGCTGATATTCGGCATGAACTTGGGTGGCTCTCACTTAGTGAAATGAGACAACACATATGGCATTGATGATCTTAAACGTAAATCATGGCCTCTGTCCCTCTTATTTGTCTGACATGTTTGACGTTAATATAAGCCGGCTCAGTTATGACCTTCCCTCCTCTGGAATGAATCTAATAGTGTCAAAAGCAAGAACAAACTATTTTAGGAATAGTTTTGCTTCTGCAGGCGCTAAGCTCTGGAATTCTCTTCCTTCCAGTTTAAAGGAAGAGACTTCTTTAAGACAAGTTAAGGCTAAGATCAGGTCGTATTTACTATCTACACAAGCCTCATAATTTTAGTTTTTTATCATTAGGTTTAATATTGTGTACGATCTTTCTTAGTTTAGTTTTTAGATATATATCTATATCTTTAAGTAAGTTAACTATAATGCACGGCTTTTAGGTAGAACAGATGCTTTATGTAAAGTTATTTGATAAAATTACCGTGGGTAAATAAAGTTTTCACTCACTCACTCACTCACTCACTCACTCACTCACTCATTCACATAGCCCTACATAGCCCTACATAGCCATACAGAGCCCTACATAGCCCTACATTGCTCTACATAGCCCTACATAGCCATACATAGCCCTACATAGCCATACATAGACCTACATGTCCATACACAGCCATACATAGCCCCACATAGACCTACATAGCCCTACATAGCTAGTCATACGTTGCCCTACATAGCCATACACAGCCCTACATAAATAAATAAATAAATAATGATTTGGAGGTAGCACATCCACAAAGTGGTTCTTCGTCTACCTGATTCCTGGTCGAATTGGAATTTGGAAATGTTGGTTTTTGAGGAGAGAGGAAAACCGGAGTACCCGGAGAAAAACCTCTCGGAGCAAAGGAGAGAACCAACTGCAAACTCAACCCAAATATGGCGTCGACGCCGGGAATTGAACTCAGGCCACACTGGTGGGAGGCGAGCGCTCTCACCACTGCGCCATCCCTTTGCTCCCCTACATAGTCCTACATAGCCATACATAACCATACACAGCCCTACATAGCCATACATTGCCATACACAGCCCTACATAGCCCTACATAGCCATACATAGCCCTACATAGCCATACATAGCCATACATTGCCATTTATAAAATAAATAAGATAGTACGCGCGCTCTTATTGGGCGAGAGGAGTGTTTGCATGAGAGTATGTAAACATCGTTGTGGCGTCAAGAAGTTTTGCTTTTCGCGCGGTTATCATGGAAGCACGAATTTGAAAACGTTTTGGAGGTCAAAACTTGACAAGTTGACTTTATTTACCCATTCATTCGTCGGCTGAAACTTGGAAAATCCTTACAAAGAAGGTGTGTCAATTTCTCTTCCCTAATAAGCTGACATTTTAAGCGAGAAAAATCCGTATTTTAGAAAGCATCTTTTTGCAAAACAAGAACTGATTACACGTGCAAGACTTCGTGGACAAGACTTTGCGACTGGTAAGAATTTATCTTTTAATCAGTGCCATACAAAGAGTTTTGCGTTTTTTCTCGGGAAAGTTATTTTATAAAAGCAATGGAAAACTTTTTTCCTGTGTTTGCATAGCCTGATATAAACACTCGAGGCGTTGGGAGAATTCTCGACAGTTATACAAACCCTCGACTTCGTCTCGGGTTTGAATAACTTTCTCGAATTCTCCCAACCCCTCTCGTGTTTATATGGGGCAATGCAAACAGAAAACGTTTTCTATTGCTTAAATATAGCTATACATAGACATAAATAGCCATACATACGCCACTGTCTTGGTTTTCAAAGCTGGCACTTTTCGGAAATAGTGGGCTGTAACATATAGCCTAGTAGTAGCGCAACCAATCGGAACGCAGCATTGATAATAGACCACTAGTTGCATTTTACAAATAGCCCCACAATCCCTTCACAACCCTACATAACCCTACATAGCTCTACATAGCGTTACATAGCTCTACACAACCCTACATATCACTACACAACCCTACATAGCTATACATAGCCCTAAAAAAGCGCTACATAGCCGTACAGAACTCTACGCAACCCCACATAGCCTTGCAGCCCTGTGTTATCATAAGAGACTACACTTCTGAGGTTATAGCGGACGTTTCAAGGAAGAAACATTGATATGTTTTGTGAAACTGTAGCACGATTGTGGCAATATTTTGTCACCCAGGATCGATCAATACGCAAACGGATTTTTTTAAGGATTATTTTATAACTTAGTAGTTAGATTGTCGCATAAACCAATAATAAAGCAGCTTTTCAAAGCCGAGTTGTTTAATCAAGCCACTTTTGGGCGTTTATTCTCGCCGTTCTTTCCCGCTCTGTTCCATTTGAGCCTTCCCTACCATCTGAACTCAAGAATCGTGTGAGAAACCTTGCCGCCCAAATTATATCATAGGGAAGGAAGTTAGCCGAAAACACTCGTTGGGAGCACCTGATAAATAAAGCAAGTCTGGATTTGTTTTTCTACCACCCCAAGAAGTAAAGTATGTGGTTCGACTGTCAAATGCGAATTTTATAAATAACTATCCACAACCTGTTTCCCATTTTAACGAATAACAACTACGCTGAGTAAAAGTAATCGTAACCCAAACGTTACAGAGACGACCCCTGGCGGCACACGCCTCTAAATTCCGAGTTAGTGGAAATACCCCCATCAGAGCCCCAGATATAGTAGCCTCCCCGCAAACGTTTTTAGGGGTTCGTCATGCGTTCCTGCCCGAGGAACGCGTGACGAACCCCCTAAGATCGTCTACGGTGGAGGCTACAGACATGGGCCCATTTATATTAAAGCGAAAACACCCGGATACAACTTCCTCCATCCACTTTTCTATTCCAGTTGCACCACGCAAAGAATGATTTTTATATTGTCAAAATTCGCATCCCGGGTGGAACGTGCGTGGATAGCCTTTTCAACGGGTTTTTCCACTTTTGACATGGACTAGTAAGGATAAAACCTGTCAATACTACTAGAAAGAAGCCTCAAAGTTAGTAAGACTGCCAAAATTTGAAAGTGAAATGTCATGTTTGTATGTTGGGGGGTAAGTTTGCCTCCCCCGCCTCCCCAAATAAAATTTTGCTAATTTCGCCATAAAATTTCGTAAAATTTCGCTACTTTTAGAAGCTATATCTTGGTTAGTTTACAACAGATCACTTTCAAACCTAGTGATTGATTTAACTAATTCAAAGGCGCACTTTCTAGCGGAGTCGGAGGACTCGTCCCTTCATGGAAAAGGTGGGGAATAGAATGAACAACAAAGGGTCTATTGCACAGCGAGGTGTGGAATCACTAGTTGTTTTATTTAGTCCCATCCATTGGTGTCCGCAATTATGCGCCGTTTTGGCGATCAAGATCTGATGATGTGTATCACTATGTTGGGTCCCCGTGCTCGTGAGAAAATTAAATTACTAAACCCCTAAGGAGACCAGCGAGGGACATCTATAGACATCTATAGGTCAGTGTCACGGAATTTATTTATGCTCAGCCAT